CCACTTCCCGAAACCCGCGGAAAAAATACATCATCCAGTCGCTGTCTACCCACCAAGAAAGGGAAAATGGCTGCCCACGCCCTTTGCACTCTGAGAATCAGGGTGGAATCACCTTCGGTCAATGGCTGGACACTGCAACATGGCATCGCCACGAAGTTGTGACTATGCAAAACAAAACCAACCACTAACATATCCAGCGGGTGGCAAAAAGCACTCTCTCGTCCAAGCATAACTCAACATGAGGAGGCACCCCCCAATCAATGTGGTTCTGTGTGTGTGTGTGTGTGATTCGGAATGTGGATCTGTGTGTGTGTGTATGTGCTAAGTGCCCTAAGTTCCATGTTGAAAGGGGGATCGGCATGGTTCCCTTGAAGCTATCATGATGGTGGCATCGCATAAAAACCGGCGCCCTTTAGGGCCAATCCCTGTGTCCTTTTCTGCATACCCTTTGTGGTGTTATGTTCACAAGTAAAGCAAACTGGAAACCACCCCAAATTGAAGGGGGGAGTCACCCCTCTTGGAGACGAACCCACCTCCTCACTTCCTTCGGCCCCGGTGCATTTGCCCCCCTCCACAAGGGTCCGATCCGCTCGCGCTGGCGCACGATGGGCCCGTCGTGGGGCGTGCCAAGCCAGGCCATGCCCTGCAAAATCGCGTCCACTGCGGCCTCGTTGTGCCGCTCCATGTCGGTGTCCTCAATGCCTTAGGCGTCGCCACGGGAGCTCCCCTCCGGAAAAAAAGGAGAAAGGAGGCAGGCACCCCTTTGAACCTATGCGAAGGAGACCCGAAACAAACCTGGAACCGGCATCAAGGCCACCGAAAAGGGGGTTTGCCAAATGTCCCCTTCAAACAACAGACCAAACTAACAAAGAAAGCTTAGGATCACTGAACAATCAATCGCCCAAATGTGATCTTTAAGATTGCTGAAACACCATTTTCAGAAGCCTGTGTTTCCCATTCGCCTTCTGCTGGGGGCAAGCGCGGCGATCCCTACAATCCAAAAGATTGAAGTACAAGAACCCTATGTAACCTCAACATGCCTCCGTTGTTGTCAAGAATAATCAACTATGGTGCGATGCCTACAAGTGAGATATGTTGCTTTTAGGATGTGATCCTTTGATCTCCTAACTGCCCTCTTTTGACGAATCCGCGGTGATCCAACACGTCACAGCCACCGCTGAGAGGGTTCCAGCCGAAATAGACATGGTGCCAATGAATCGTGTGGGAAAAACTGGCACTGGATGGCGGGCTTTCAAGCAAGCAACCATTTGTGCGTCACTTTGACATGTGCTATCAATAGGCTCCTTCCAGGAGTTTTGCCTCTCTTCTGCTCCCCAGAAGTCCCGAAACGCATCAGCTGCACCGGATTGGCCTGCAAGCAGATCAGGGCAAGGGCACCATCTTGACTTGCTTGACCCCAGGCCTGTATACCAAGTGGGGGGCCACCGCTTGCTTCAACATGTTCAGACACCCCTTGTGCTACAGACCTTCCTTTTTCATTCCCTTTGAAGGGCCCAATTTTCAGAGATGGGTATGGGTCAAAATTGATCCACCAGGGGGCCGCAGGTTTTAGTTCCTGTCTTTGCTTGTCAGGGTTTCATTTTGGGTACCTTTTTTTGACCCACAGCCAGGCACCCAGAAAGTTCGCCACGCGCCCCTGCGAGGCGTTCAACTCTTTGCAGCCCCGCGGCGCATCAGGAACTGCCCCCCGTGATGCCGAGCGAACCTCGAAGCAAAGCACAGCCAGCGCGGGCTACTTAGCCCCCCAAAAAAACAAATAATAGGAAAATTGCCGCAACGTGGGTGGCCCGCCATGTCCTCCCCAGCCATAGACTACCAGTTTTCTCAGCTGCTCATTTGGGCGTCCTAGAATGGGAAACAGATCCTCTGTTTGGATGTGACAGAATTCTGGGAAACACCCACACGCACGCACGCTGCCTCTATGAAGCCCCCAAAAAGAAGGTGCTGGGTTGGGTGCCCAACCACACTTTTTGACCACCTGTGTTTCCTAACCCTGAAACACCAGAATCAACCAGAGTTGCCTTGGCGCAGCGTCAACTGTTCTCCGACGTTTTGCAGCCCAGCGGCAAGTAGTTGAAGAGCGCTGTGCGGGCGCCCCCGATGTGCAAATATCCCGTGGGCGAGGGCGCGAAGCGCGTCACCACGGGTCGGGACCTGGACAGGAGATACCAGGGCTGGACCCGCGCGAAAGGCTTGGACAAAGCGAAAAAATCCCTTGGAAAACAACCCGGGACGCGATGGTTAGCTGGTTTTCCATGGTTTTCGCGGAGGGAACCCGTGCTTACAGAGATTGAAGCGAACCAAAAGGAAATCCACCGCCCTGGACAGCCGTCCCTTAGTTTGAAAAACCCCAATTCAAACAACAGCCAGAAATCGGATTGACAGCAAGAGCGGCGCCTGCTGGGGCCCCAAACAATGCCAACCATTGAAGCGGGTCGCCATTCAGTCTCCAGGTGGAAACGAATAACGCGAAGAAGCAACGGCAAGCGTTCGGTTGCGAACTTGTTTTGCAAACCAGCGGTACTGCTGGTGCTGGCTTTCATGTAGCAACAAACAACTTAGGGCTGCGGGGTAAGGTCGAGAGGCATGTTCAGCAAAACAAGGTTGAAGCGGAGTCGTGCCATCCTTTCAATGACTTAAAAGCTCTTCACCAACAGAAAGAAGACTGGGTTGCTAGGTTTCACTCACGTCTCTATGTTCAAGGACCCCTTTTTTGCACGGCACCATTACATGAGTGTGTCTCTCTCGAGGGTGTCTATCTCTTTGGGGGCCAAAAAATGAATTCAATAGCAAAGCACCGTCTTCATGTCCAGTAGAGGGATGTTTCCCCAACCAAGGATGGCAAAAACAAATCGGACACCCTCCGATTGATCAACCATTCATGCGTTCCCTTTCCAGCTGCCTTGCCGCAGCCGCGAACTGCGGCGCCGTCTTCGCCGCCGCCGCAACTGCCGTCGGGCCCGACACCACCTGCACCCGTCAAACCGCACCGGGGAGAGGGGGGGGGGAATGCGCGCAATGCGCAATTTCGGGTGGCCTAAAGGGGGAATTCTGCCTAGAAGAAACAATAACAAAACAAAACAAAAAAAAGACTCCTGGGGCTGTCATTCAGCTTGGGCCTGCGCCTTGATTGATCTTTTTGGCCTGCAAAACCTGTTCAAGCTGCGAAAAGCCAGAATGGGCAGGACTGAGGAGAGAAGGGAATAGGGACGGAGACGGAAGCTGGGAGGGCCTGTCCTTTTCAAAGGTCCCTCTGCCATATTCTTGGGCTGACCTGGGTTGTGGCGAAGGGTGCGACACAGGTAAGCAATTGTCAAATCGCATCCGTTTCATGTACGGCATCCAAAAAGATGCTGGGTGAAGCTTTTGCACTTGTGAAACTGCTGAATCCTCCAGCTTGTGCCAGACCAGAGAACCTTGAATTGATGCTTTACTACTTGAACCATGCTTCTGCGCAAAAGCTTGCATGCACATCACCACAAAAGGTGTCCACTTCCTTGCTCTTCGACAAAGTTGAGTCCAGCAAACAAGTGCAGGGGAAGATGTCAAATGGGTGTGGCTCAAAATTTAACAGGAGGGGTTACGCAGGTTTTGGTCCATGTGTCCACTTACCAGGGTTCCATTTTGGTACCGGTTCTTTGAGCCACAGCCAAATAGTTGTAAGATTTATGGTCCCAAACTGTGGACGAAAGGGGTTCCCTCAGCACGGGTTTCAGCGGGATCGCTGGTTAGAACCCGCAAGGTACAGAGTTGTTTGTACCCAGACCTGCATTTGTGGCGGCCTGTACCAAGCCCCTGTGCAAGTTTGCCATCCTCGTGTAGGAGGGGGTTGAACGAACTCTTCTGACCCAGGGAAGGAGCTTGCTTTGCAGGGCTCACCAAACGTTTGGAAGGGTATTCCCAAATGTCGACCCCGGAATGATGAACCTGCCGGATGCTCCGCGCACAAGTGAGATCCAGATCCCCTCTTGATTCAGTTGGGCCCTGTGCATCCACCAAGGGATTTGTTTGCTTACTTCACTGGGTTCCATTCGCTTCCAAGAGCCTGCAGGCCGATCTCCTTCAAGTAGTCCAGGTGCATGGCGCCCCAAAAAGGTCGGCCGAAACGGACAGCCTCTCTCCGAGTTCGTTTCAGTCAGGACCACCACAAAAAGCCGGGCCACACCTGAGCCAAACCATCCAATACAGATCTGGACGCTGTCCAAACCGCTTGGAGGGTCCAATGGTTCTTCGGGACCGAGATCTAGGCTAGTTGTCAGCCCTCGGCTGTTCCTGCTGCCTTGGGTGAATTGGTTGACTTTTGGATTGAAATGCGGATATCAAGCACTCACCCTACGCTTTCTCGAGGTTCAGTGCGCTAATTGCTTCCTTGGATTCGCGGATGAGATCCTTGAGCCGAAGCCAGCTGCAAGGAGCCGAGTGCTGCTTCTTCTTCCCAAGGGGTTGCATCGCTCGCCTGCGTTCAAATGCCCCCTGTAGCTTGTCAGCCGGGCTCAAGAGGAGTCGCGGAAGCCAGCGGGGGCGGGGAAAAGTTGCGAGAAGGTTCGGGGGGGCGGAGAGAAACCACATGAAATCCACCAACTTGGGTCCCAACAGTCTTGGACACAAGTACTTGGCAGGTTCGTTTGGGCTCGTCAAAGGTCTCATGGGCCCCGATGCCACGTACTTCCAGTGACTTGTCTTGGACCATCCCTCCGATTCTGAGCAGCGGGCCAACCCAAGATCTACTCCCCTTCCATCTTCAATTAAGTCTGAATATTAAATGGGGACACGTTTGGGGACCGCATTTACACGGGGCCATGTGTAAGGTGTTCACCATGAAAACTCATGACTCATTGTGGGCTAAGCCGCTCTCGTTCCGATGGTGACATGCACAGCTAGGGTGCAGGCATGCCACCCAAAACAGGCGGCCCGTCGCCCCTGCAAATTGTTGCAGATCGCCAAAATGGAGTGGCTTCTTCGGAACTGGGCCAACCCGCCCAATCCCTGAAAGTCTCCAGTTGCATCTTTGGCCTCGGGCAAACTCGAGCCATGAGTTGCTTTCCCCAGCGGGTTTGGCTCAGTATAGCGACAGGTTGTGGCTGACCCAAAAGCCCGCTTTGCGGCACAACCGCATTCTGAGCTGGTGGCTGGGACATGAAAGAGGTGAAGTACCTGCCGGTACTGTGCCGCTATGGCAAAATGCCGAGAACCTAGGAGTGCTAACAGCCCGAGACCCCCCCGGACACATGCGCACCCGAAGTTGCCCAGCGTCTGGATACGTTGCCGGGCATCGTTGTAGATCGGGTCGAAGCGCTTGTGCACCTGTTGCATATGGGAACTATCGTGAACAGGAATTACGCAGAAGAAGACTCCAAAGGAGGGAATCCGGCTATGTGATGTGAGAAATTAACCTCATGTTTCTATTTCTCGCATGCCCATGGGGTCAAGAATAGGAACCTGAAATGGGGGTGCCCTGGCAGATGGACAGAAGCACCAAAACCTGCGGTCCATGGCTGTGAGTGCCGTGGCCTCGATCTGCAGAAGGACGCCCTTGGCCCGAGCGATGCCTCGGAACTGAGGCTGAGACGTAACCCATGGACACAAAAAGAAGGAACCCCATTACAAACAAAACAAAAATACATGTTGTTGTTTGCTCAACATTTGTATGCCTCCTAAAATAGGAGCCCTCTTCTCATTTTTAACCAAAGAAACCCGAATGGAGCATGTGGCTACACTTTGGTGAGCATCTCTTACTGAGAGGATTTGTGCCCACTAACCTTGTTTGGAGGATGTTCCCCATTGAGATATCTATACTTCTGAACATTGCAACTTGTAAATGGTGGTTTCCCTGTATTTTGGTGGAAAAAGCCATGTTTCAATTGGTTGCAAAATGGAGATCTTTTAAGGAGCCCTGTAAGTAGCCTCAAAGACGCAAGCCTCGAGGTCTCAAGGTCCCGGCTGACCAACTCCTTGTGCTGCGCCAAGGTCTTCACCATTGGCTTGGTCCTAACTCGCCGCACGTCAAAGAAAAACAAGTGGCTGTGGGTCAAAACAATAGTTGACGTCCCATTTACCCGTGTGTTCTTCCCAGCTCCAGCCGGACAACAAATACCGGTCGCGACCTCCGCAAAGGTTCACCCTTTCGGCCAACATGAGACGTCTCCTTCAACCTCAAGAGATTTCGAATGGCTGTGGGTCAAAAATGGGTGCCCGACATGGAACCCTGGTAAATAAAAACATAAACTAAAAGCTGCGGGTCCCCTTCTGGTTTAACTTTGACCCATACCCAATTAACCCCATGGAAAGACTTGCTGCTCAGCAGGGAATGACCGAGTCCGGGTGTTTGTTGGGAACGAACCGGAAGGAGATTTCCCAAAGGAAAGCATAGTGAATGGGTTATAGGCCAGATGTTGAAACATCAACGACACTGGGATCCTTGTCTCATTCTCCAGAAAAGCAACTCTTCCAACCCCACAAACCACCCCCTAGGCAGCCTGTTCCAGCCCTTTGCCATTGGGTTTTTTGGCGGGGTACCTCGTAATGATCCGCGGCTTGTGCCCCGTTTGCAGCTGTTTCGTCTTTCATGACGCCTGCACGGGAGCTGCACGGGACAAGCTCAACCCAATAGAGGGACGGACAAAAGAAAGCTACAACCAACAAATGTCAAGTCTGGGCTGAATCCTGGGATGGAATGTGCAGCTTGGCTCTCCATCAGAGGTCGGACCACAAGATTTATGGGGAAATAGCCCAAGCAACTTACGGGAAATCTCCGTTAACGAGTAATGTCGTCACCTAAAGTCGCGTGGGATCCTGCCTTGAGAGTGGAACTCTGATGCCTAAGGATTCTGTGCACCTCCAAAGTTCAACTTCCCCACAATCGGTGCTTTGAACTGGTGATTTGGAATTTGATGCACCCAAATGGGGAAGGTAGCCAACGTCCAAACCACCAAGCAAAAAACACCACCAACTTCCACTCTGCCAACAAAAAAAACGGAGGGCTTCCACTAAGCCGACGCGACTGCATCGGCTTCCAAAACCAGAGACCTGGCGCTGGGCGGCCGGGCACCAGCACGTGCAAGCCGCCCTCCAGCGCCGCCTTGCAGATCTCCTGGCGCGAACGGCGCGCGGTGCCCCGACCCCAAAGTCGTACCTTGTTCCCTTTTGAACCCCTACGAACCCAGTGTGGAGGTTGCAAAGCTACTTGGCTTCAGATTGGGTCTGGGTCAACATCCAACCACCAGGATATGGACCGCAGGTTTTAGTCCTTGGTTTCATTTGGGTTCCGCTTTGTTCACCTATTTTTGACCCACACCCATAGTGAGCAACTCATTTCGCAAACAGATGTGAATTTTAATCAGGAACCCCGAAATGATGGACATCGGAATTTGGTGGGGATTCATGTCCATCTCAGCGACTCTTCAGAACGTACTGCCGTTGGCCAGCCTTGCTGCTTGCTGCTTCATCAGACGCAACAAAGACGGTGTAAACCTTTCTATCTATGGATGGATGCATGGATGGATGGATGGATGGACGGATGGATGGACGGATGGACGGATGGACGGATGGACGGGTGTATGGATGGACGGATGGATGGATGGATGGATAAATGGAGAAATGGATAAATGAATAAATGAATAAATGGATAAGTGGCAGAAAGAGAGGGAGGGAGAGAGGGGAGGGGGAGGGAGGAGGAGGGAGGAGGAGGGGGAGGGAGGGGGAGGGAGGGAGGAGGGGAGGAGGAGGGGAGGGAGGGAGGGAGGGAGGGGAGGGGAGGGGAGGGGAGGGAGGGGAGGGAGGGAGGGAGGGGGAGGGGAGGGGGAGGGGGAGGGGAGGGGAGGGCAGGGAAGGAAAGGGAAGGAAAGGGAAGGAAAGGGAGGGGAGGGGAGGGGAGGGGAGGGGAAGGGAAGGGAAGGGAAGGGAAGGGAAGGGAAGGGAACGGAAGGGAACGGAAGGGAAGGGAAGGGAAGGGAAGGGAAGGGGAGGGAGGGAGGGAAGGGAGGGAAGTGAGGGATCGATCGATGGACATGCGTAGGTACATGCGTGTACATATATATATATATACAGATACATATTGATTGAAAAGATACCCAGATTTACAAAGCAAACGCCAATTATGGTTAAGAAAAAAAGGTTTGGCTTCCGAAGTCTTTGATCCGCTGCTCCGTCAACCCTCCTGACATAGAACCTGACTGACCCTCTGATGGGTTTCATGTTAGCAAAAATACCGTGTCGCAAAATCATTCAGAAAACTCGCAGCTGGCATGCTGCTGCAATTTCTGTGACAAGTAAGAGATGATACCAACTTCCCCACTGCATCCTTATCCTAACTACCTCGTCTGCCGCACAAAGTTATTGAGCTGTCTTGGCGAACCAACCGTGATTCGATCAAACAGGTGCTTCTATCACTTCAATTGTGACAAGCTTTCTTTGACTTCATTTGAAAAGTGCTCTGGACTACCACTATTTCACAGAACCTTGAATTCGGGATAAACCTGGTGGGAGGGACCCGCTGAGAATTACATCCCGTTCAACTCAAAGCATTCAACCGAGCGTCATACCTTGTCCATGTATCGCAAATAAGTACAACCCACGTGCTCCAACTCGTTGAATTTCAGCTGAGCTGCAAAGTGGGTATCATCCGGCGTGAACCTGGCACCAAACCAGCTAAGCAGAAGCCACACACGGCATTTTTCAGAGCTGGTCTCATTTAACTGGCCCCTGCCCTATGTACATGTGTGCTAATCTCGTGAGTCGGTGTGTCCCTACAAGCGCCACTGATCTACCAAATTCTGGACATGAATCACAAAGGTCATGTCAGGAGAGGGGACGCTCTGTATGCCTTGTGCCAAGATAGACGATGACGAATGGACCGTTGCTCATCTGATGTCACAAATCGGACTCTGGGAACCCCTTCAAGACTGAGCCGCTTGAATGCTCACTTTTGAAGTTCCCAAGAGGGTCCAAATGTCACATTCCCATCCACCAGACCTTCGGAATGGATGCCCGTCAAACCAAATCCTCATGCGCTGACAGTTTGAACGACAGTCTGGACCATTCCAGCGGTGCTGTCACATTTCCGGCATCCACGCGGTTTGGGGCAGGGTCCAAGTAAAAGTTCCGGTCAGAAACTTCGAGGGATTGATCAAAAGCCGCCGGCGGGGCCAGCGGGCCAACGAAAAAGAAACGGGTCGGGAGCGCACGGTGCACAGATCTCCCGGCTGGAAGGCCTTGATGGCATCTTGGTATGCCTTGCACATCGATCCGGCCCATGAGCGGCGGTCCGACATCACAGCAGAAAACATGGCAATCCCGACGTGAAGTGGCGCGCTCACCGGATAATGCAATGACACATGGTTGTTGCGCCTGATTCACCGCAGACTAAGCAAGATTTGCAAGGCAGTAGAAAAAACACTGTTGCAACACCGAAACATCCACGCGCCTTGGGATTCTTGCCAGCTTTGGGAAAGAACTCGAACCTTCCAGCGGCAAAGAGAAAGCTGCAGACCCACTTGGCGTCAATTCAATCCTATCAAATTCTGGAACGGTGGGGATGGGTGACAAATAGAAAACAAACAAAAAATGTTCACGGAAAAGACCTGGACTGTGTCAAGCTGGGAAATGTCCCTTCATTCCAAATTCCTGCCGCCTTTTCAGCTATCAGAACAACTTCTTAGCGACTCTCAGGGGCCATCAAGGATCAACGGTCTGGAAAACTCGGGGCCGCACTCCTTGCTGCCGATATTGGTAAAGGTCAGGTTTTGCCTCGCGCACCGCAATTTGCAAACGTGCACGTTCGAGGCCGATCCGAATATACCAGGGACGCTACATATGAAGCAAGACTCATTTCCAAACTTGCCGCTGATGTGTGCGTGTGAAGTGTCATGCGTATCTGTCAAAATGAATCCCTCAAATGTCACATGATTTCATAAATTGGTGCTTCAGTATCTGCAACGGTTGCGGACACAGAAAGCACGGTAACAAAACTGCACAGTGGCAGAGCATGAATCTTAGTTGGGAACACTTTGCCGGACATCATGCTACGTTCGCATTTCGGAAGCGATCCCCACATTTAGCCTCCGATGCGCGCCTGAAGTGCTCGTTGATCTTGGGCTCCTTCTCCGCATTGGTTCCCACCATGCCAATGCGCTCCCTCAAACGGCTCAGGCATTCAGCATGCGATTTGTGCACTGGCTCACACATCTTCTTTACATGGCAAAAGGCATTCGATCCAAGCTCGCAACCCGATCTTGCCCCTCTCCCTGAGGTCAAAGAAGGTCAGAGCTACCTTGACAACGACAAAACAAAACGACTCTCTAAGCAAAAAAAAACTTCACATCCAGTCTGCCAACAACTTGATATCTGAGCAAGCTACTACCCCCAGCGACTTGTCAGATTTTGCCTGGCATGTGCAATCATGTGCTCGGCCGCATATTGAAATATGTTTTTTTGAGAGTGGCTTCAAATGAGGACCTGAAGGGAACCACCCATATGAGATTCCCACGCTTGAAGATAAACCTAGAGGTTGATAGGGGCAAATACACTGTCTCGAAACACCAACTCGGGTGCGTTTCAACATCGGGTCCCTCCCACATGTGGATTTCCCTTGGTATCCTTAGAAGAAAGCCAACAAACGGAACCCTGAAAAAAACAGATGCGCAGCGCCGAACAACTCGGCATCTTGCACCTGCCCGGACGGCGTCAGCCCTGTGGTATACTCACCGGTGCCGAAAAGAATTGCATTGGGAACCTGACAGGCGCACACCATCTGCAAAGAAAGCCGCGACAACTACTGCTTCGATACCCCGCCTTTGATTTGGCCATATTTTTTCTTGGACTGTTAGATTTGCCTAGTTGGCATAGAGACTGTTTCCACTGCCGTGGTGACCAACGAAGGGCATGTCAAAGTTATTCACAAAAAAACATTGTCTGGCTTGCGGAAATGACCTGATATAGACAAAGGGCTGCTGCAAAGAAACATACGTGGCAATTGCCGACAAAGGCTAACACAAATTGCAACAGCTCGCCAAGTTTGAGCCAAGGCCAAATGTGGTCCATGTTCAAGTTGGAATTGACAACAAAAGGCGTCTTGTTACCAGAAGTGCCAAAGGAAAGAATGAGCAACGCAAGGTCTATACACGTCCGTGTTTGCCAATTGCAACCGATTAGACTTGAAAACCCGCAATTCACCCGTCATTTTGGCTACGAACTTGGCATTCTCATTGCACAACTTCAATCGTGGGCGGTCTCTGACACATGGACCGCCCCTTTGGCCTCATCCCGGTCGCAGTGGCAGATCACACATTGTTAGAATCTTGATCACTGCTTCAATCCGAAGGGAACATGCAGCAAAAGAAAAAAGAGCACGACCGACAAACCTGTGCGCATGCTCTTTTTCTTTATAAGGCGTTGCTTGGAAGTTAAGGCTCGGGGGTGCAGGGGGAAAGACAGCGCGTGTCCTTTCCCCGGGTCTGCACCCCTCTGCGGAGCCTTCTCAAATGCACAGTATCTCTGGGGCGCCAGCTGCGGCTGGGCCCTGGTCCATTGCGCGTGCAAAGGCCAGGAACACTCGTATGCAGCGGAAGTACTGGGCCAGTGTGGATGGAGTGAAGTCTGAGCGATGCTTCGTAAGCAGCTTCGGGCGACTGGGATGTGATCGCAATCACATACATGGCAGAGCAGGTGCCCACTTGCTCTAAAAGGTCTTTCCAGTCGCTGAGAAATGGCTTGGGTTTCCACAGTGGTGCTTTTGACGCGGAGCGGATGTTTTGACCGGAGCGCCAGGCATGTTAAGCTTTGGCGGGTATGCGGTCGCCTGAACAAGCGCGGCTTCTGCAAGAGTGGCTGGTGCTGGTTCGGGTACCAGACTGCGAGGTGGTGGCCCGCAGAGGACATGCATCCGGCGCCGGCCACGGAAAAAACACTGCCCGGCGTGGTACTGCAAGGCCCCCACGTGTTAACACAGGCGCGCTTCTTGCGAGGTGCGGCGCGCTGCTAGTCCTTGGACGGAGTTGGTGCTGCAAAAGATGCACGCCGACTCTCGCCCCTGCGTCCAGTGTTGGAGGGGGCTGAGAGTGGGGTGCAGGTGCACGGTGAGAGGTCGTGCTGCTTGCGGATGCATGCCAATGAATGCTATGGTCGGGCACCAGCTTGGAAGTTGAGGCTCAGAGGTGCAGGGGGAAAGACATCGCGTGTCCTTTCCCTGTATCTGCACCCCTCTGCGGAGCCTCCTCATATGCCCCCGTGGTCAACAATGCGTGTTCGACCAGGCGCCAGGTGTGTTACCTGTGAGAACAATCGAACGCATCCGGCTGGTGTGCAATGCGGCACACGGTGCCAGGTTGAGACATGTCGAAACAGTCATATAGCTGCTGGATGCAATGCGTGCATCCGGCTTATGTGCAATGGGTGCCAGGCTGAGGCCTGGCAGTAGCTATACAGCATGCGGGGCTGGTTGTGCACCGAGCCTTTTGGGCGGCAGCTGCGGCTGGGCCCTGGCGGAAATATTGCATGCCGTCGCTGGCGCGAAATGCGGCTCACGGTGCTAAATTGAATTCTGTGACCTCTGCAGACAGGTCATGGTATGCACCGTACCTCTGGGGCACCAGCTGCGGCTGGGCCCAGGCAGGGTGGGAGGGTGGGCGCAAAAAAGTGAGGGGTAACCCTCACGCAAGTCCCTTAGGTGGCTTGAAGCGGAAAACGGCAACGCGTCCGAAGATTCGATCAAGATTAAAACATAAGGGAAAATAAAACCCTAAACGATAGAATCTTGATCACTGCTTCATCCGAAAGGGAACATGCAGTCCAGGATAAAAGGGTGCGACCGACAAACATGCGCGCACGCTCTTTTTCTTTATAAGGCGTTGCTTGGAAGTTGAGGCTCAAAGGATTTTGGTGCGGGGGGCAAGACATCGCGTGTCCTTTCCCCGTATCTGCACCCCTCTGCGGAGCCTCCTCATATGCCCCCACTTCAGGGTTCCAAGCAAACGGCCTAATCTATCACCCCCTCTTCAGAGCGTTTGCGAAGCACTCCTATGCTCCGGCCGCCACGGGGCGTCGGGCGGATGCAGTGATAGCCTGCATTGGTGGGGCCAGAAATCATGCGGGCGAAAACGAAAGCGAGCTTGCGGCTTGCTGTCGAACGCGGATGTGTTGCCGCGGCTGAGCTGATCGGCCCACACTTGTGCTCGCCTGGGATATGCGAGGCTAGCACTGACCATTTGTGCTTATAGGCCCATGCTGCGACTAATTGCACAAAGATCTGCAAGGGCCATGCTGTGGTGAACAGTTTGTTCACCCCGGCTTCTGATGCGGTATTATCCGTGCCGGAAGGCATGCATAAGCCGCGCACTGCTTGTCCCTCGGCTGTCCAAGCGATGCGCATTAGCGCCAGTTGGGCCAGGGTTTCGAAGCACGCTATGTAGCGCTGAGCCTCCTTTGTGAGGCACGGCCACTGCTGCTGGACTTCTTGGAAGTCCCACGTTTCTGCAAACCAGGAGACGGAGCGGCTGGAGATAAGCCAGACACCGATGCCGACTGTGGTGCCCTCGGCACAAGCATCTGCGGCTGCCTTGCATGCCAAGATTGGCTTGCTGCGCAGCGGGCGTGCCAAATCGGCTTGAAAACATTGAAGGAGCCACTCAATGTTAGCTTTGCTTGCCGCGGACAAGCGCGTGTGCTCGGCAGCTGGGTCGGCTATGCGCACCCACGCTGGCTTGTGGCTGGGCACGATGCGCGGCAAGTCGGAGGAGCTGCGTATTGATGATTGCTGATACTCTAAGACCCTGGAGCCAAGCGGCATAAAAATGCCGTGCACGGGCGAAGCTAGTACAGCTTTGGCGTTTAGCGCCGACAGAAATGCAGGCCACAGGCGTGCGTGCACGGATATCGGATATCATGCATCCTGGCGGCGAGTGCAGATCTGCATATAACGGCGCAAGCCAAGACCTCAATTCCAGGCTTAGGCTGGTGGCCCAGATGAGCAGCCCGAGGACTTGTTCCAAAAGCTTTCTTTTGATTCGTTTGGAGCGGAGCAGTGCGAACAGCTGCTCCTTTCAGCTTCAGGGTTTTGAGTGGAGTGAGCTCAATCGTTTCCAGGCTGAAGTTGATTGACCATCCGCACCAAGTCAGGCAGTTTTGGAATTGCACCTTTTTCCAAGAAATGGGCGCACTAATTGCTGCAAAGAATATGACAACGAGTGCCAGTTGCTGATGCGCATCTGGGCGGTGCAGTGCAGCCAAGAGGTCATCCACAAACAACCAAGCTCTATGCGGGTGTGCTGACAGGATGCCGTGCAGCAGCCTCAGCAAGAAGGCTCCTGCGCGTTGCCACCAGTATGCGGAGAACCGTGCTCCGAAGTGGCACACCCGGTAATTATACAAAGTGTCTGCGAAGCGAAACAGGAGCAAGCCATGTTCGCTAGGATGTACCTGAATTTGCTTGTGTGCGGCTTTAAAATCAAAACTTGCGCCTGTGAAAGAAGCATGCGTGTCTTCTGGCATGAAAGCGAGGCGCACGTCGGATGCCATTGGCAGGCTGACGCGTTCTGGGATATTGCACTTGGGGTTCACCCCGCACACTGTGCTGTCCAGGACCAGGCGTGGTTCCTTCCCTTCTGCATGCACCACATTGAGTTTGCCCGCTGCAATTCCTTTATTCCAGTGCCGCCTAGCCTGTTCTATGGACATCTCTGTGCGGACGACCCACCCATTGGAGATTTCTGTATCCAAGAGGGTGGAAGGAGTTTGATGTCCGGGTCATCCGATGCGGAGGCCAGTGCATGCAGCAGTGACAGCCGGTACGGCTGGCCGTTGTCGGGAGCCATACTGGTTGGGGTGGGCAGGTTTACTGCCGCGAAAGCAATCAGCGCTGCTTCTTCGGACTCCTGGGCCGACAAGGGTGGCTCAGGTGTGTCCGAGCTGACGTGGGCGAGAATTTTGGGAATCAAATTTTGTGTTGTTGCCCACCGCAGCCAAGCGTGCGCTACCGTTCCCAGCGGGTGACTGGGCTGGGGTACTGAATGGTCTGCGGTGGAATGCATGCCGGCTCCATCACAGATTTTGAGTCTGTTGGGACGCAGGCTACGGATGCAGGGTTTTTGAAGCTCGCGTACCAGCGGATCGCGTCGAACTTTGAATGCACAATGCGTGACAAGGCTTGCGGCCAGAGTCGCGGGATATTCTGCGGTCAATGCGCTGAGGAATTGGCTCGAGGTGCTGCGCACGCCTGCGATGCTAGCGTGCTTTTTTGGGTGATTGCAACGCGCTGCTACATGCTGGATGCATGGGTTGTTTGAAGCGAAACACCAAGATTTTGCAAAAGACATGCCGTGCTGGCATGCATCCACCCATGCCAAGTGTCCGTGGAAGGCTTTGAGGCACTGAAAGTTTTCCGGCTCGAGCCATGCCATGCTCGAGGGCGGTTGCTCAAAGACTGCCACGCCTCCTTGTGTGGCAACTGCTTTGAAGAGTTCTCTGCTCCTCCTGCGGATTTCCCTGCTTTGTGCAACGCGCGATGCTTCTTCGGGAGACAAGCCAGGCACGCCGTGCACGCAGGTTGGAGTGCGTAAGGCCTTCGGTCCTCCGGGGCGGAGTTTCAGTCTACTGTACTCCTTGCACGGCGGAGCTAGTGTAATCAGGCTGACGATGCCTGACCAAGAGATGCGCATAAGCAGTTCAAAGCATGCATCGTCGAGTATGTCGTGCTCTGAATTGGCCTCTAGGTCAAAAGCCTCGAAACGCGAGAGGCCTTGCTTGTCGGCAGCTGCTGAAATGGGTGCATGGATTCCTGCGAAAACATCCAAGAGGAATCCTCCTTTGATGTGGGGCAGTATGCGCTCCTCAGCTGCGCGTGCAATGTTGGGTGGGCCATCGGAGTTGCCTGTCCTATTCCTGGCTGCAGGACGGTGTGTTGGCGCAGACACTGAGGGCCGGAGCGCCTCGTTCGCGGGCGATAAAGCATGCGTTGCAGGCGGGCTTGCGGTGCGACTTGGGTGGGTAGTGCCGAGTGCTACCGGCTGTGGGATTGCACTGTCCGGAGGAGCGGCCGGAGCGGCCTCCGGACTGTTTCAGGTGCGGTTGGAAGGATGTTGCGAAGCCCCGTGCGCTTGCTGGCAGCCTTTTATGGCGCATATATGTGTGAATTGGGTTTTGTAGAGGCCTTGTTGGAATCTGCGGCAGATTGGCTTGCCTTGGTGCGTTGCCGCCCAATTGTCGCATGTCTTCCCCTCTCCTTTTCCTTTACCCTTTTTTCTGGGTGGTTCCGCCTTATGCGGCTTGGGAGCTGGGCGTTGCCGGATCGTGCTGGATTAGTCGGTCGCTTGGCGGGCGGCGCCGCTAGGGGCTGTCTGCTTGTTCTCGGGCGAAGCATGAGCAGGGAGTGTATTTCCATGCGGCCGTGCGTGAGCTCATGGAACGCATCGTCCATGGACCATTTGCGTTGCAGTAGGTCAACGATGGTGCCCCAAATTTGGCGATCGGCATGCAGAAGCTCTGAAATTGTAACTGTGCGGAGTGAGAGGGCCGGGTCCGGCTGAAGCAAGCACATGTTGGCGATTTGCTGGTCTAGTGCTTTGGCGTTAAGCAGACGCACTGCTTGGCAAAGGGCGAGTGCGTTGCGAAACACTTGCTGAATGCGATGCAGCCCGCCGGTGGTGAGTGCCTTGCCCTCCACACTGATTTCAGGGGTATCATCGAAGAAAGCGTGTGCCAGAAGCTGCGTCTCGGCGCGCGCGGCTTTGTGGGAGCGCGCCTCTACGGCTTCTTGGTATTGGCGTGCTGAGAGCCGTAATTGCCATGGTATCCATTTAAAGTGCTTGGATTTGGTCATCTCGTAGACCATGCTTAGCAGGCGGATGCTTGGCATGCTGTCCGGTCCCAGGAGCTCTCCTGGGTAGTTCTTTTGGATTTTTTTTCTACCAGGTCCTGCACCACTTCCAGGGTCAGTTTAGGAGGCAAATGTTCTGCCCATGCAATGGTCGCTTTGGGCATGCGTCTCCTGTGATGAGGCGGCCCTGGCGATTTCGAATGCTTTCCTGATGCGTGCGGCTGGAATGGAGTGCGCGTGGTCTGCCACTTCCAATGCGGACCAAATCTCTGCAGGCACCTCATTGAGCAGTGTGTTCAGGTCTGATATATCAGAGTACGCATATGCAAAATCGGCAATGTCTTGAAAACCGAGACCCAGGATATATGCTCAGCAAGCATGTCCGGGAAACGGGCACGGAGAGCGGTGGTGGCTTGTGCAAGAAAGGGCTGAAGGAACGGACAAAGCAGCGATGTGTACCAAGAAAGTGCTTAGGTACTGAGGTGCGGGCCGATACATCCAAGGTGGAGAACTGCATGGAGCCCGCCCCTGTTCTTGGCCTCAGAAGAGACAGCAGGGTGTACCAGGGCGGTGCGTGCCGCTCTCTCTGTCACGGCATGAGCGAGAACTTGCACCGCTGATGCATTACCTAGGCCCATCGCTGCACCGCAGTTGCTTTGATGCCAAACCTCGTGCGCGGCGCACGCATTCCACAGCCACAGTTTGCTGTTTTATGGTTTTGCACCGCTGTTGCGTCTCCAAGGCCCATCATTGCACCGCAGATGCCTTGATGTCAGGCCTCGTGCGCGATGCACTCAGACCATAGCCGCATTGGGCGGTATCATGGTCTTGCACCGCTGATGCATTACCTAGGCGCATCACTGCGCCGCAGTTGCTTTGATGCCAGGCCTCGTGCGCGACGCACTCAAACTAGGCATGTTTGCCGCAGCGTCCGAGACTTACACGCGATGCATATCCCATGCCTACATGCACCGCCGATGCATCCAGGCCGCTCACTGCACCGCAGATGCTTTGAGGGCATGTCTGAGGCTCAGTGCTTCCTGCATTGAACCCGAGGTTGGTTTTGCACCGCTGATGCATCACTACAGCCTTTCCTTGCACCGCAGATGCATCAAACTCGCAAGTTGACCAGTTGTATGCAGAGATAGGCCGGTCTGAAGCCCAAGATGCAGACGGCACGGCACTCGTAGGTACTACACACGGCCACCCCAGCAACAGGTCAGGCCCTCACTGTGTTAGTACCTTCGTGTCTCACAACCACTCGTGCGTCACACAGCCTGCCCATAGCTGCCCATCAGCACGCATCTCCACCTTCGGCATCACATCTCTCATGGAGCGCCATGACATCCTGGAGGCGATGCATGATACCATCGCACGCAGCTACCTGGGCGTGGAAATCGTCCTTGAGGACATGGTCCTCGTGCTGCTAAGCATCCGCTTCTACATGCGCATTGTGGCATTCTGCATGGTCTTCACCGCACTCGTCGCACTTGAAGCATACTGGAAAACACTGCCTTCCATTTTCCAGACGAGTGATTTCTTGCATGCCGCCTTACTGCGAACAAACTCGCAGACGGCCTACTTGCACAACGGCTAGCAAACGCACTCTGCACGCTTGCCAAAAAAGAATGCTCTTTCCAGGTGTGTTCTTTGGCGTTTCCTACAGCGCTCACGGCAGAACATGAGTCGAGGCGGCAGCAGCCGGCCCTGCCCTCAGCTGCCTGAGCCACGCATCATGATCAGCAGCTGAAACTCCTTCTCATTTCCGCAGTTTCCTTTTAGATTCAAGCGGCGGACTTTTTCCTTCTTTGTGCATAATGTCCCTGGTCAGTGACACCGATGCTGGCTTTGATGCTTTTGACGACAACGACACACCGCAGCAGTGGCCCCGCATTGATGCATCCCCTTCCCGATGTATGCAGGATTTCGCATCCCTCCTCAATGGTTGGCTACGACGCATGGACCGTGATGACCGCTTGGCATGCATACATCGCATGGGACCCTGAGCAATTTCTTGCTCGACATCCTCAGTATCCTTGGAGTGCACGGTAGGACTTTTGGCATTGCACGCATGCACTCCCTCATCGCATACTTTGTCAACTATGTTCGCATTGATCCGCAGATCGATGTCGACGGCATGTTGGAAAATCGCAAACAAAGCCTTGCAGGTTTCCGCATGGCAGGGAAATACCTTGCCATCATCCAGCCCTTCTCCGCATGCTCGCTAATCCCAAGTTCCGATCTGAGCACAGCATGCACGCACACATGCACCAGCTTGGACTTGTTGCGAGAAGGGGAGTCACGCCTCAGCATGCACGAAATCGCCTTGGTCGTCCGGTCTTGCATCGCATTGCTTGAAAGCATCAGGACTTATATAAGAGTGCTTCCTCAGCCCCGCAGCGCGCACTTCCTGCACTGGTCAGACAGGCGTCAGTGGGGTGCCTCAGCCTCGGTTGGGCTGGATCTCTCATCCAGTACATCTGGATGCCACACGATACTGTTGAGCAACTGATCAGCACCTTCGCAACGGTCCGTTCTCACGTTGTCAATGAGGTCAGGGTCAATGGACACCTGGTGCCACGGGATGCCTTCCTGCGTTTTTCCGATGGAGGGGTTTTTCGTCTGCATGAGACTGGACTGCCTGGAGGTGCACAAGCGTCAGGTTCAAGCGAAGCTAGCACAATGTCTTATTGACTGTGCCTTCACACCTCTGCAAGTGTCAGATTTGACTAGTGAAATCATTCAGAAGGCTGGAGCCATCAAGGCGTTGTGCAAAGATTGCAACATTTCGATACAGAAAGGTAATTCCCATGCGAAGGCCGCTAAGGCAGGACCTCGTGTCAGCAAGCGGGCTGCCTTCCCTTTGGATCCAGGTCAATACACGATTCAACCGGGTTTTTTCCTTAATGTGGATGGTACGTCGGCCCAGGTTCTTTCGGAACTGTGCAATGACTCCACCGGCGTGGTTCTTACATCACCCGGAAAGGTGAGACCGTGGATTGAGGCTGAAGGACAACTTGCGATGTCGCGCTGCGTTGCGCGCCAATCATTTGCAAATCCAAGTGCAAGGCAAGCACGCTTTCCTCCACGCATCTTCAAACTGGTTGGTACTGCGTCCGCGCACTTTGGCACAGGGCGGAACGCCTCGGTGAAACAGCTGTTGACCAGCGCTGGCAACTGTTGCTGGTCCTGTACCCGTTGCAGGCATTCCCTGCTTGACTTGAACACCGCAGCCTGCTGTTCAAAAGTGTGAACATTGACCTCCCTCAAGCTTCAACAGTCAAGCAAAGTCGCGCTGCAACGAAACAACTGTGCCTGCGACTGCACCCTTTTGTCACTGCACGAGGTGAAACGTTGTGCCCCAGCATTGCCTCAGCCGAGAACAGCAACAGCCAACAGTAGCCTGGCAACGATGCAAGTGCACAAGTGTAGAAGACTGCTGCGCTGCTGAGGTGCCTCAAACTATGCGGCTCCAGCAGCTCCAGCTGGTAACGTGAATCCGTAGCAGTCTGCCCTGACAGCTGGGCAACGGCGCAACCCTAAGTTGAAAGGCATCGGAACCAAGCGCGAGGCTCATCTGTCTCGCGCAAACTTGCTGACATCCTTGCTTCTTTGACCCAGCGGCCGTCCTGCAAAGTCCAGCTGAGAGACGGCAAGGGGTGAGGTGTGGGGAATGGAACAAATGGGTTGTTTTTTGGCCTGCAAAGCTCTCCTCTTTGCTGTAAATGTCGAGTTGATGGGCATCGCAGAATACAGTATTTGGGTTCTCCTGCTTGATAGCCTCAAGCAATGCGCAGCGTTGAAATCACTCAAGCCCTCCATCTTTGTCATCGCCCTTCTGCAAACAGCTCGCAAGACAGGATGAGCGAAATTCGGCTTGAGCCCTTGCAAGCGCGGGGCCTTCTTCAAGTCATCCACCTGACATCCCCAAGAAGCGTCAAGCAGCATTTCCGAAGGCAAAACAAAGCTGAAGGAGATCCTTTGCAAAGTGGCGCAGCTGAGGCGTAGGCATCTAAAACACTAGCAGTGATTTTGAACGCGCTGCCAATGGTCTCAGGCTCCTTGCCGTCCTTGCAACGCACAAGCACTGCAATCCGGTTCAGTCGACCCTTTGACAGCTTTTTTTGAACATGAACGCAGGGCAGGCAAAACCGCACATGCTGGTAAGGCCCAGGCAGGGCTTCCCAGCTGACAGACCCACACCGCAGCGGATGGTTGCGAGGCAGCACTGCCTTGCAGGCGGCAATCCTATTGGTTTCCACTGGCCCTGAAACTGGATAAGCTCCAAAATCAAGCTTGAACACATCCAACTAGAAAGCAACAGTCCAATCCAAGGGGGAAGTACAAGAACTGGCAAGAAATGATGTGTAGGTTGGTCTGACAGCGCCAAATGAATGATCCAGCGCATGGATTGTAGGGGAAATCTACTTTGAGCTTTGAGACACTATTTGCTTGAAAAGAACATGATCGGCCCAGCTTTGCTTGCAGCTATTCAAGGGCAACCTACCCGGCAGTGGTCCACAAAACAAAAGTGAGGAAAGCAACGCTTGAGGACCGCTGCAAATCCCATTTGCTTTGCAAATTGGGGTGCGGCAATTGAAAGAGAGACCATACGAGAAGGAAACCAAACACAGACATGCATGTATTTCTTGCAGATTCTAGTCCTTGCGAGGTCAACAGGCCCAAACTGAGTCGGTGCAATGTGCATGGAGCCGTCTCGAACTCCAAGAAAGGCGTGTTCAGCACATTGCTTCCAAGCTGCTGGGCTCACATGCTTCAACGTAAACCTTGATACAGTTGCGCAGGTAGCTTGTGGCCGGGATGAGCACCTGCGTCGTGCTTCTGTTGCTGAACATGTCATCCTTCAAGTCTTGGTCCAAAAAGGTGGTCGTCTCTCTGTTGATGACGCCGCCGAAGTTCTTCTTGGCGATGATGCGGGCGCCCTTCTGGCTCTCCGTCTCCCCGTCTGCGCTGCCTTCCTCGATGGGGGACCACCCCTGTCGCGCAAGGTTCTCCAAGTGTTCACGGGTGAGCGGGTCTTTGGCCAAACCAGCCAGCCCGTCTGTACCTCGGACGCTGAAGGGGTCGAAGGAGTCTTCTGCACCAAGCTCGAACTGCTCAAGAAGCTTATCGATTGCCTGCTGGCAGAGAAGTATGTTGCCGCCGAAGATCATGTAGAACTCCTGGCAACGCGAGTGAAACAAACTCTGGCATCGACCTCGAACATCCGTTGTTTTTTGGTACGTGCGTGTTTGTATTGCCGTTCGTGTCAGAACTAACTTGTGATGCGCACACGCAAGCAAGCCTACGTCAACCAAAAACCCCAAAAACGCTCCTCCGCCACATCCCGAGGCAAACCCCACTCTGTCAGCAAAGCCAGCATTGGCTCCCTTTCAACCTCCGGAATCACGATTGTCTGAAGGACATCGAACTTGTTCAAACCAAGTGTTTCTAGGCCCCGTGGGAAGGCGAAATCGGCGGCAGGCAAGATGACGCAAGCCTTGCAGCTTTCCTTTGTCATTGCCACAAAGGTGACAAGGGCCCGTGAGGCTGCTTCCCTCTTGGATTTGCTGTCTCCATTGCCATTCGTGTTCGGAAAAGCAATGTTGGCTTCGTCGATGATCATTGTCGGGATCTGTTTCATTGCAACTGCCGCATCAACAAAAGCCCAGAGAAACTCTTGCGGCTTGGGCACATTCAGCAATTCGGAAAAAGCAAGTTCCACTCCACCCTCCGCATCACCCTTCTTCAAGCTCTCCTTGCCAACTACTCGAGCAAGGGCAATCATGACGTCAGCCACTTTCCCCGCCCAAGGGGGCACATTCTTTGCACTTTGGCTTGAAGGCATTCCAAAGCATCCGTTGACTCGGGCTGGGGTGGGTGGCGCATGTTGACGTAGAGCAACGGGGAGTAAGCGGCGACAACTTGATCCATCTTTTGCATAATCTTGGTCTTGCCAAGGGACTTGCCTCCAATGACAAGGTACAAGCCCGATTTTTGCATGGCCTGACCAGGGTTTTGCGAGAAGGTCACCACCAAACAACACAAGCTTACTTTGTGCTCAGCAAAAACAAGGAGCTCAGGCCTTCTGCAGTGCTTTGATGAAGCCAGTTCGTCCAGCAATCTGGTCGCTCTTTTTGTAAGACTCTGCTGCCGCGCTGACCCCTTGCAAGTATTCAATGTCACTGATGCCCTTGTCTTGGGCAACTTCATGCATGCGCTTTGGGATGTTGAAGGTCACGCCGTGGAAGCCGAAGACCAAGAGGAAAGGCAAAGCGACCGCAAGGCGCCTGTAGCGAGCTGAGGCGCTGCGTTTGCAAGCCATGATCCTGGGCAATTGCAATTGTTTTTTCTGGTGCATGTCAAAACCTGAGGTGCGGATGGCTGATGCTTCCGGAACTGCCTTCAACATTCCATAGATCTGAACTGTTCTCTTGTTCTCAACTTGAGCCAACGGCGGAGAAACGCTGATCACTCCATTTTATTCAACCCGCATTCTGCTTCCCAGACCCCAGGACCAGGCCGCAACTAGCCATAAAATCGAAACAGGACCAGTCCCCAAGGCAAACCCCCCGCCAAAAGGCCACCAGTCTTTGGATGCACATTTGCCCGCTAAGCGAAAGCCCAGCCGAGGGAAACTTTAAAGACAAAGCTGTGGACGCAATGAGGAAGGTCTTATAATACGTTAGAGGAAAGCAACTACCTGGCTTTATAGAGGAAGTCAGCAGCAAGATATGCCACGCAACAAGCACGAATAGCCTGGCAAATGGATTGCACAGTTCGTTCTGCATTGCAAGAAAATGCGAGCAAGAACGGGAAGGACGCACGACACGCAAGAAGTTCGAGACACCGCCCAAAAATGCGAAACATGAAAACCCGCAAGCGGCCCACGCTTGCTGGGAGCTGGCACCTTGACGAGGCCCTGCCCCAAACCCCCGGCAGTCCCAAAACGCATGCCCGCTCCCGCAACTAATTCTCGCCCCCGAAGCGCTCCCAAGACTTTCCCAAACGTACCCTGCTTAGTGAAGCCCTGCACCAAACCCATTCGATGAGCCTCCTTCCTCCATGAAAACTCGTGAATATGAACCGGACACAAAGCTGACTGACTCGGACATAAGTTGACGGCATGTGGCTTGCACAGCTTGATGAGACGCTGCCCCAAACTCGCTTGATGCTTCCCTGCCCCAACCCACAGCACCCTGCTTGATGCGTTGCTGCCCCACATTTCATTTCTTACTCCTTCTGTTGGCGCTTGTTCGGCACCCTGCCCGTTCAGCACACCGCGCTTGCTCAGCGCCCGCTTCTCAAAAACAATAATCACTCCCCTGCCAGCTGCCGCTCCTGCAACATCAGCCCCAAGACGTAGCAGCAGCTGGCAGGTCTCAAAAAAATGTTAAAAAATAGCGTGATGTGTAAGCAGCGACAACGAGGTCCAACCTCTGGCCGATGCACTCGTCGATCCGTTACAAGGGGCACGGCTCAGGACACCTGCAAAACTTGGGGGAGCCTTGGGAAGAAGGACCTGGCACAAACTCAATGATGGGACGCGGGCCCTGGCATGTGGACGACAGCATAATGAAACCGGGAAGGATCTTGAAAAACCCAGGTTGCCTGAACACCTGCACACACCTGCCCAGTTCCAACAACAGCAATCTTGGGGACAGCACCACCAGCATTGTCCAGCCAAAAAACTTTCGCGCTGTTTCCCGGACACGCGCTCACTGTTGCCAATCTAGAACAAAAACAAATATATTCCGTGTTTCAAAGGGGAGGCAAAAAGGGCTTTCCAAATGCGCCTTGTTGCGCTTGCAACTGCACCTGCGCTTGCCGCAGCGCCAAACCAAAAACATGGAGCTCCTACCAAATGCATCGTCAGCCTCAGCCTCTGCGGCAGCTCTTACATGACAAATGTCAACTCACGCATCTGTGCACAAATCTGTGAAAATATGGCACATGCAAATCGAAGAAAAAAAACGCTAAAAAATGAAACGTCACCACAGCTCGCCCCCACCATGACAGCGGAGAGCCCAAAAGCGCACTCCGAGGCTCCTTGGCAGCTACGAATCAACCGCGCATTGCAAACAAAAACCTGGGCCACATGCTTCTGCCCTTTTGTTCCGCAGCGCGCGCTCCTGGCACCCCGGCAACTCCTGCACAATCGGCAAACCGGCCCCAGCATCACCTCCTGCAACCTCGCGCCGCTGGAAACCTGTCCGCGGGAAAAAAAACATGAAGAAAAACAAAAAAGCGCGTCCATGGCAACCGCTCGGCACCATGGACCTGCTTAACCCAATTTATTGACCAGTGCCCTGCGTCGTTCGTGAACACACCGCCGCGCTCTGTCATGTTCAGCCGCAGCAGCACCGGCACCTCGGGCGCGAGAGGGCTCGGGAGATCCCGCGAGCTTCTTGCCTCGATCAGCACCGTTCGGTCGGGCGCCTCTATGGAGACCTGTCCATCCACAAAGCTCACTTGAGCCCACGGAAAGTGCATCTGGAACTCCTCCGCGAACCTGTTGACAAACTGCCTTTATTCCAGGCTCTGTCTGCCATGATTCTTTTAGGCAGTTGGAAAGCTGCTCTTGCTCCTTATTTTCTTCCAAGGTAACAGCGGGCACTCGAGGACCCTGCATACGCAGGTCCGTCGCTCATCATCCAGAAAGTTCGCACCTTGACTCGAGCAGAGCTGCATGCCAGGGTCGGACGGTCCACAAGCTCGCCGTCGGACCAAAACAGGGCATCCCGCGAGAGCTTGGCTTTGAGCAGCCGGTCGCCGTCGCGGGCTTCCTGATGACCGAAACCAGTCGCTGCTGTACGGCCAACAGACGGAAAGTCTCTGCTCTTGTCGAAGGCACTGCTGGGCTCCCGGAATATCCAAAGGCTCGGAGCTGCTCCAAAACAACGGCTCGGCGCAGAAACTTGCCTCCTTTGTGGTTGGTGCGCACCTCGCCCAGACGCCACATGGTCTTCTTTTGGCTCTCGGACTTTGCTCGTCGCCATCACCTTTTTCTGAAGGTGTCCAGAAAAAAACAAGTCCAAGCAGCAATGCCCGTGACTCTGGGTTGCCTGATCACCAACGTCCAAGCCTGGGGCCCCTTCGTCGCCTTCGCTTGGGCGTTCGGGAAAAAAGACCCCCCATTGCGGCACGCAGTCGATCGGCAAGGCGTTTAAGTGGGTGGTGGTCTCCCTCGACCTTCTGCCAAAATTTCGGCCGACGATGAGTAGGCATGCCTTGAAGAGAAGCGATGCGCATCAAGGTGACAATCGATAACGGTGCAAAAAGAATGCTACATGCAGTCTGCACGTTGCCGACAGACGCGATAGTGCTGAAGGAAAGAACTTGGACAGCAGCGTCAACGCCGGCTAAGGTGCCGCAGACCGACGCGCCGCCGCAGTCTCGGCAAAGGTGCTTCTGACGATCATGCGTGCAAATCCCGTGCAAGCAGATCGACGCGCCGCCGCAGTCGCGGCAAGTATTTTGCTGTCGCCCATGCAAGCACTGGTGGCAGGCATGGTGGGGCGCAGCAGAGCAGTTTCCTTGGTAGCAGCTGCTGTGTGTTATCTACGTCCGGCAAATCTGAAAGGGCGGCAGTAGCCACTTGTGCGATCTCGGCGCAGCGCTGCGGCTACTGTAGAGCAGCTCCCGCGATTGCCCCGTAGAAGGCCAGCAGCGCCGCTGCTGTCTGTCATCTCTTTCATCACTTCTATTACGCTAACACATGGCAAAGCCGTGTTTGCCCCTCGTTGCGCCTGCGTGTGCCTTGCCTGTAATTATGGAATTCGTCTGGGTGGACTTGGCTGCAAAACGTTCCGGCCATAAAAACATATCACCTTTATTTTAATTGGATTCTCTGGTAGTCTTAGCTTGCATCTTCATGCTTTCTTTGAATTGTCATTTGCTTGTTTTTCATTTGAGCTGTTTTGTTGAACATCAGATGTGTTTGTATTTGGCGATTGTGTTTTTTCGGCGTCTGTTATTGTTGTTTTTCATTGTTTTGTGTAAACGGCTTGTGGGCAGCAGACTTGGGTGGAGTTTAACATGCTGCTGTGCTGAAATGTTGTAAGTCCTCCACTCCGCCTTGGCTCTGCTCTGACTCCGCTCGTGCGCCTGTCCAACTTCACGCCCTTGCCTGAAACTGAGTGAATGTTTGGTCGATATAGCGCAAGCACGAAGATCGTATGCAACTTTAGTCTCCGCAGAACTACAGTCAGATCGTCATCATTTTTTATCACGTCCTGCAACCAGGCCCCCTTTCGGCGTGCTCAAATCGATAAGCAGGTCCTGTGGATACTCTTGACCGCTGGCAGCCTGATACTGCTCTGCAAGATTTTCCAACTGCAAAATGCTTTCCAAAAATGGCTTGTTTTTCGGCAGTGGAGGAAAGGTTGCTAAAGCCTGCGCCAATCCCAAAGAGCGCTGCTTGCTGGCCGGCATAAACTGCTCACAAAGCTGTTTCCAAACACGAAACCCATTTCTCTCATGCGTATTTACTCGTGTCAGGTGAAGTGGGGCACCTCTCAAATACGATGTCAAGATACCATGAAGTTTGATTCCCAAATCCTTCACCTCCTCCGTTGCATCAACCAAATGCGGCGATTCTGCGCTGGTCTCAACATGGCTCAGCAATTCAACATACCGAGCATCTGCAAAACTCAACCACGACATAAATTGATGTCTCCACAAATTGAATCCAGAGGGGTCTTCACCAGAAAAGGAAGGTGGTTTCTGCAACACACGGGTGGCAAGATCAAGTCCAGTTAAGGCATGTTGCACTGCTCCTATCTTGGACCAAACCAGACCACCCAAAAGAACAAAGCAAGTCCGAAGCGGCCGCAGTTCTTTTAACCGGGATTGCTGAAAGTAGCACTGCTTCCAGGGCACGGATGCGCCTGGAGCAGGAGGTGCGTTGACCCCCCGTGAAACTTAAAGGTGAAGGCATGTTGCACTGCTCCTATCTTGGACCCAAACCAGACCACCCAAAAGAACAAAGCAAGTCCGAAACGGCCGCAGTTCTTTTAACCGGGATTGCTGAAAGTAGCACTGTTTCCAGGGCACGGATGCGCCTGGAGCAGGAGGTGCGTTGACCCCCCTTCAGTGTTTCAGGCAACCCCGGTATAAGCGAGCCAGCTGGGCCGCCGGCCTCATCACCCCCCCTTCAGAGTGGGGTTGTACCTGGCAGGGCAATCGTCGTAAGACATTGCACTCTCATTCTTATGAGCATCTGCTGCTCAGGGACTGCTCATTTTTGTCAAAGCGGCTTGCTGTGAAGCTGCTGACAGATGCAGCCAGATATTCTGGCTGCCAGGGCGATGTCGGGTCGCAATGCCTGTTGGGAGGCAGCAAGGCTTGTCTACACGCTG